GAATGTACGCCAGTAGTAGGCATGTGCATGGCTGAGGAGCAGTACCCTTGAGAATGTAACTTGAACTTATCATCTTTTGATATTAGGTTAGTGGCGTTTGTAGAACCCGGTGAATAAAATGGAGGCTGAGGAGGGGCAAAACGAGATAAGGTCGTTGCATTGTTAGATGTCGTTGGACTCATCAGCTGAGGGAAAGTATGTTGTAGCGGTCCCTATAAATTAAATTTGGACTTTGAAAGTAAGGAAATCAAAGAACAATATAAAACTTATCACCATAGACCTTAAACGAATAAGAGGCTCTATAAATTGATCTAATGTGTCAAAAAAGAGTGCGCAAATTTTCTTGAAACTCAAATTGATCCTAAATTATTCTTATGCATATTATTTTATTATAGATTTTTTTTTTTGTTACTTTCTTTAAATTAAAAACTATGAATAAGCAAGAATTACCTGTGCTTTTAAAGCCCAACCAAAAGCTGTGTTCGAATTTCTGGTAGAATAACCTTGCCAAGATGAGGAGCCATAAACATCTTCAAGCTGCAATAAAATTTGACCGCTTAAAGGATAGACTTTTCAAATAAATTTTTGATGAGGTAAAATAAGAATTCTAACGGCATCAATGAGGTTGAATAAAAAGGATTTGAATTTTAGTCACATTTTAAATCCCTTTATTACCTGTGGATGGGTTGGTAAAAGAGATTGAGGGAAACAATTGGTTGGTTGAAAACTCTTGAATTCAGAAGTTAATAAATGGCGCTCTCGTTTACGCCATTTTGCTCGTCTGTTTTTAAACCATACCTTTAAAAGAAGAACTATTGACATATTCCAAAGATTAACTTAATAATTGAAGCGAGATTGGAACTTATCAAAGAACACCAATAATAGTTCAAATGTTTGGATTCAATAAATCAGCTTTACTGGATCAATCATAAATGAATATGCTAGCAATGATTAACATTGAACATACAAAAATGAAAAGATTGGAAAATACTGAGATAAGAAAGGTAGATGAACTCAAACAATTTAATCGTCACCAAATTTCAATTTTGTGTAAAGTTAATCAGGCATTATCTTTTCAGAAATCTGGTCCATTTCATAATTCTAACATGCTTTCACAAATCGCGTAAAGACTTAAAAAATCGGAGCACTCAGATGATTATGAGCTACTATTGCAGAAAATATAAAAGATAAAAGCGGGAATTGGTGGCGTCGCTTTAAAATATCAATAATGACAATGCTCATTCATCTGTACCCTAAAACTGAATGTTCAGCTTAGATTTTCCAATTATTTGTTACCGTAAACTTTGGAAGATCCATTACTGTTTGCGAAGTATTTGTTTACGTTTTCTTAATTTGTAATTATTTGAAAATATCTTTTTTTTTCATTTTTTCTCATCACTGCGAGCATCGAATCATAACTTTATTTCAGGATAATAATTCCTACGAAAATGTTTAACCAGCTGGCTTTCAAAGAACGAAATACTAAACTCAAGTAAGCAATAAGTTTAGTCGAAGCAACAGTAGGTTAGCTATCTTAGTGTAGTCGTTGACTATGTGGAAACAAAATAGTAAGGAAGCGCAAGAAAATCAAATTCTTAATTAAAATTTAGCTGTTGTTATTGGGTATTTCTTGTAGTAGTGTTGACGACAATATAGTTGTGATGATAATGATATTTGTGATTATAATTATGGCAATGATAAGGACTATGATAGTGATGGCGTTAACGGTGATGATTGTTATTCTGTTAATGATGATTATTGAATGATATTGATGATACATTGATAATGCGTTAGTTTAATCAGCAAAGAAGGACAGCGGTCTGCGGTCACTTGGGATTTCAATTCATTAGAAGTGACACAAATTACACATTTCAATTATAGGGTTTGGGAACTATTACATCTCAAGGTTCTGAGGTGAAGACACTATTTCGATGGAGCTAATTTAACGCAGCTACAAGTCCTTTTTTCAAAAAAAAAAAAGAAAAAAAAGTAAGGGAACTTTCAAAAATTATTGTAAATCATATCTCACTTTCTATTAGTAAATGATCGGTCGTAATTATTTAATCCAGATTTATATGAAAAATTTATTTTGGAAACGTACACGAACTCGTGGTTCCGTAAGGCTGATCCATAATGCGATTTCTTCTCTTGTGGCCATGTCTGGGTAACGATTCCGTGAAAACCAATTTTCTAACTCTGTTAACTGCAACGCAATTATTAAGTTTGTAAACAAGAAAAGAAAGTATTTTCAGAAAACACTAATCAAGAATTCTTGAAATATTCCGTGTATTTTCCAGGTAATGATTTCTCTACAGTTTTATATTTCTGAATCAGGATATTGATGAAACTAATAAAAAATACGTAGGAATGTCGTGTGTTAAAATATTTACCTGATGACTTGTAAAATGGGTGCGTTGTCTGCGTGGTTTCTGGCTGCTGATCAAACAAGTATCCGGTGATGCATTCGAATTCCCATCACATTCAATACCTCCCGATGATGCGTCGTACTCTTTTTTTCCATCTTCTACTACAAACATTTTTTAAGCATCCAAATGGGAATAAGTTCTGAACTACTAAGAACTTCAGGAAAAGCTGCCAAGAAAATACTGGAAATGATGATACATTTCCGATAAGTGCATTCGCATGTCTCGTAATAATTTTGCTGAATCAACAAAAATTAAGTATAAATTTTATAATCAGAAAACAAAGATGATCTGATAGTTACGCAAACAATTTTTATCGATCCTTTTGGGTTGTAAAATGACTAGTAAATAATACTGGAAATAAACTGCTTTTAGAATTTTTTTTTTGAATGAAAGACATTTTGCAAGTCTTAAAAATTCGTTTATTTTTTATCTGAAGTTCATCAATTCCTGAGTTCAGAACAGACTTGTAATTGCAAAAATTGAGGTGGGAAATAAAATGGAACTGAAGTGGGCAAAGTCCTAGATACGAAAAGTACTAAACTACTATCTTATGGTGCAAAATTTTTATATGCGAGCAGGAAAATTTAATACGTTTAAAAATCTTTTAATTAAAATCATTGAAATTGAAAGACGTTTAATAAAAAATATCAAAAAAGTTTACAAACCAGAATAGACTGATTAATGACAAATACTCATCCATTAAATGTCGTATTCTTTTTTTACTTAGCAGATAATCTGAGACAAACGAATACCTTAGGGATGAATTCAGATAAACAAGTTTATAAAAAGGGAATGTGAGAAAAATTGCTTATTTATTTCATAGATTTTCAAACTCAAGTATTTTGGAATAAAATTTAAACTAGTAATAAAACATACTTTTTGGTAATTTTCCTGCAATATTATTCAGAGCAGTAACACTTTGGTCAACAGCAACAACATTTGGTAATCGATATACGTCATGTTGAGAGATGGAGAAAATGCTAGCTGAAGAACTAGATGGTGGTGGACAGATTGCACTGGTTACTGTCAGGGTACCACTGTTGGTAGCAATACTCAACGAGGTGCTATCAAATAATAAAGTTGTAGCTGTTGTGCCATTTACAGTGTTTACAGCAGCGTTTGCAGCTGCTGTTGCTGCAACAGCTGAAGGGTCTAATATAGAGGGAACGATGTCAGCACTAAGTAAATGTCCAGGAAAGCTTGGAAGATTGTGTGGCTGCTGTTGTTGTTCCAGATGATTTGCTTCTAAATCCATGACCAGAGGAAAGCTGTCGGGGTGTTTCCTGGATTATATTTTAAAATACGTAAGGCTTAGTGCTGGAACAAATTCACTTTAATTTAATTCTTCTGCAGCGTATTTGGTTACCGCAAAGGAAATTCTAAACGGAATAACTATGATTCACTGCAGAGTCCTTCTGAATCCTGCGGATTAGTCCTAACAATAAACTAGGCCACTAGGATGATCTTACCAATCCAGAATGATTTTGCTAAACTCTCTTACACACATGCAAACAAACTGAACTGGGGGTTGGACCATTTCATTTTGGTCAAATTACTCCTATGGATTACTTTGGAGCGTCTTCCAGGGTACGGTAGATTCAACCACTCCTCCTCATCTTCATTCCTATCTAGTCGCCAATAATGCCCTTCCATGAATTTTTGCTAATATTTTTGTTTGAGAAATTTCAATATAAGTTCGAATTTGATTTTTCTCTAACTTTCAATTTTAACTCAATTTTTCCATCTTGCATTTCATTCATTGATGATCCTTTCGAGAAAAAATTACGTTGAGATACATTCCTAGTTATTTCTCTAAAATATTCAAAGCATTTTTTTTTCTACTTTAAGAAAACAAAATGAAATTGAAAGATTTCAGTTTGTTTCTCAAGGAAAAAAAAAACGATTTATAAATACCTAATCATTGTAAAAAAATTAAAAATGAAATGTTTTGGCAAATTAATGTTGTAATATAAAGTTTGGCATACCATCACAAAAAGTTGCTTTTTATTTTCTAATCCTTTAGTTCTTAAAAAAGTCCATGAACAGACTAGCGGGAAATCTAATCATAACGAGATTTGATTGCTTTATAAATTGTGTTGTTCATTGAAAGTATAAACAAATTACTTCATCTGCTGGCCAGGCAATCATCAGTTTGATTTGCAAATTATAAACATTCTTGCTCCAGTGCAAATTTCTGTTCCTGTCGTCTACAGAGACAAGGAGAAGAGGTCAATGAGTTCACCAAACAAATAACTTAAACTAGCCCAGCTTTTTGCTTTTTTTTGACGTGACAAAACGCTACCCTCAGGTCATAATTTGATGAAAATGGTATCAGGCCAAAAGCAATTTTTCTTCTGTCCATAAAGAAATGGTTGTCACATCTTTTTGAAAGTAACTGAGCTCAGCAATAGTCAAATGACCATAAAAACAGCTCTCATACTCCAACATTTCATTCATTAAAAACCACTTGAATAATGACCCTAAATTTAAGTAGTAATGCTGTTTAAAATGTCGGGAGAATAAATCTCAAACTGTTATGTCATTTTTTTCAGCGAAAAATTATGCCTAGCATGATCAGCCATTCCAATCACAGCTAAACATTGTCACGCTCAAATCAGAACGGTCAGATTCTTTTTCATGAGAGACAGAACATTTCGCAACAATATCTAAGGAGATAAACAATGCTGCCGATTGAACTTCATTCCCCTGGTATTGAGAATTTTCCAGTGACCATGAGGTCGGCACCATCCCACTAATGCACATAACCCAAGAAGCTGATAGTAGCCAGCTTGCGGATGACATATGGCTGCGGTTTTAGTCTTTGTTAAGCTAACAAGCTATCAACTGTCACTTCGTGCACCAAATGTTCACTATATGACATTACGCAATTAGAGTAACACAACTTTACCGCATTCATATTTATAGAGCTAGTGAACCATTAACTATTATGAGAAGCCATCAATCTTGCCACCCTAACCGCAACTTTGAAAATGACCGCTTCTCTTATCCTCACCATTTGCCTTCTGTGCAGTGACCTTCTGTCCTCAGAAAACAAATATTTAACCCTTAAAAGTTGTAATCACACACCCAAAAATCTTACGCAACTGAAACTTGCATTTGCTCTGAACAATCTTAAAGAACTCAACTTTATAAGGCAGTTCTCCTTGTTGAACTCACCATTGCATGAGGTGTTATGAAGTTTTACTTCTTATATGATTTAAAATATTCAAAAACCAATGAACAAAATGAATTGCTAATAATAGTCAGTAAACCATTCTTACGGTTGACTTTGGTACAGCAATAAAAATAAGACATACGGAAATGTTAAAAGACGATAATAACCATCAATAAGCATGAATAAATAACAAGGATTATAGCGAAGTTTGGAGGAAAAAATAATGCTTCAAACAGACATAAATGAAAAAAATGTGTTCAGAAAACCTTGAAAAGTCAACAATCAGTATCGGCTATTTAATGCATCATATCTTCTAATGACGGCATTTATGCCAAATACACGGCAGCATTGAAAAAAGTTCACGCTACCTGTTCCGCATACCAAAAGCATTCCAGAAAAACTTTATTCCTAATTTCACAAGTCACAACTCTGACATATCATCCACTGATATTTTTAAGATAATAGTACCACTTGTAATAACATCAAATGGTTGATCGCAATTTTTTGTAAATGATTTGCATATGAATCACTGCTGACAAGGATTAAGCTATTAATATAAACCAAAATAACACTTTTGCTTGACGTTATTTCGCTGCAAAGTTTTACGTCTTCCATCTGACTTCCAAATTCTGAAACAGCAAAACATAGACAGAATCTAGAAAAAAAAATCCTGACATAAGTAAAAAAAATGAGTCATAAAGATAGCATCTAGAAAATCCTGACAAGTATAATAAAATGAGTCGAACTTTTGGATCTACAGGTTCGTAATAATCAATAACTGTACCACTACCTAAAGAAATTGTGTTGGCCATGGGAAAAAAAGCAGGCCATCTCTATGTGCCTAAAAAAGATACAACGATGTGATACTAGCAGTGCTTATCCAAACCTGGCAAAATCTATATTCGGAACTGGACAGTTCAGAAAAAAAAATCTACATTTAACAAAACTAGGAACAACCCATGATACCCTGTCCAGAAAGATTCTTTTAACCAAGACATGACTTGGACGCCTACTAGGAGAAAACATATCATACTTAATATCAAAAGTCATTTTGTATTTAACATCACGCTGAATAAACATTATCTAATCTTTTGATCTTATTGAAAAAGCTTTTACCTACAGAATATTTTGCTAAAGTAAATATTAAAGACTATCCAAAGATAGTCTAATATATAATTCAATTTGCACCTGAAATAAGAGCAACTCCAGGAAATGGACTGAAGTGCACTGAAGAAATAACCCTTCGGAATCAGAAATTCTTTGCTTACATATCACTTCAATTTTGCATGTGCATGTTTAGAGGTTGTTGCCATTTTGGTTTCGGCACTGGAAACACTTTGACAAGAACGAATTTTTCTTCCTCCCCAACAATAAAATTTGGAATATACTGATGGTACACAGTGCTTAAGCATGTTCCTGTAGAAAAAAAAACACTTCGCCAGGAATAAGCACAATAAAAAAAGCTAGAATGAAACAAATATGTACAATACATATTTCCCAAACTATGAATTTGTTAGAGAATGGACTGCTTCACAAATATGTTACATTAGTAAATTTTTTACGTCCAATTTTCTTAGATTAGACCCTTTTTCATCAATAAGAAACATTAAGTTCAACAGCAGCTTTTTTAAGAATAGAGTCTGATTGAGACCACGATTTAACAACTGAAATCGATTTCCATCTTCTCTTTTTAGCAAATACCAAACGAAATCAACAAAGAAAAGAATCAGGCAAATAATGAAAAATCAACAGCCTCTGTTAGGTAATAAGTGAACAGTGGAATACTGCATGTTTTCGATATTTAAAACTTACATATCTTAATGGGTATATAATACAGGTAAAGAAAATATGAGGTGAACAAAGACATACTATCTACGACGCATTCTGAAAAAAAAAAAAAAAAAGTTTCAATATTCATAAAAAACAATTATTAGGTATACATAACAGTGAGTAAACCAGCTAGCCGTAACACCTTTACCGAAGAAATGCTAACTATTTTATCACGGTTATTTGTCAAGTGAATAATAATTTTTAGTGACAACTGAAGTACGTAAACGCAGACAAGATAAGTTATATGTTGAAAATTTAAATAATGAGAAAAATGAATGCGATAATTCAGCAGTGTTAACCATCTCGTAAAAACATTTAAGTGAATAAATCAATAAAAAATAAAATCAGCACCATGATAAAGTTGCAGTTTATAACAAGACAATAAAAAATGGTAAATTCCAGTTGAAATTCAAAACTATTTCCTGCTTAATTTTAGTTGTGTGAAATTGATACAATAAAATATGGTTAAATGAATTAAGGAAAAACATAATAACGCAGATTTGAGATTCACTCTGAAAAAAGTAATATTTCTTAACAAAAAATCATCTGTTGTCAAACCATTTACTACAGGCAAAACAACTACGCACATACAATATCGCTTTACAAATTAAACATCTAGACGGGCAATCTACACACTAGGAACGGATAATCCTCATAAAGAATTGGAATAAGGAACCATTTCCATGAAGTCAAATTTGACAGTCCCAAATTACCTGACATTCATAACACAATTTTTTCAATAATTTTAGTGCAACTCAATATTTGTACAGCACTGACAAAACCATTTCCAAGTTTAAATTCCATACTTTTAAATCTGTTTAAACTGAAAAGGCAGTGTCACTTTTACCCTAATTTAAGAAATCGACATCACTGAATTATCACAAACCGGCTAACTGGAGCACCTGTTCACAAACTTTTTTATACAGAAAGGCATCGCCATTAAGACGCTTCCGCTTAACACCCACTAATTTTTCCTTATTACCCATTTCAATCCAAACCACCTCCAATTCTACAGTCATCATACGGTTGAATTCATCCTTTTTTCGACCAGATATTTTCCATCTATAATAGAAACAAAGAAAAATTAAACAAAATATACATTATTTATTTTAAACTGGAAAAAAAGGTCCAAAAAGATACGCTTAATCCGATTTCACTTTAGAACTAATATCATCTACGAATGCACTAACAATATAACTCAAATTCAATACCCATGATAATCCGTTGTAATGTTTTGCTCAGCAAAAACACGCATCAGTTCGCGACGTACACGATCTGGGTTTTTGGAAGATGTAATTGATACATTTACCATTGTCTAAAAAACGTTATTTTATACAATGTACTCAGAAGTGTCAGTTCCGAAATTATAACCAAAACGTATGAACGAATAATGTGGACTACATTTCAAGACAAAGCAAAGTGGGAAGTAAAGCAATGCTAGGACAACTGTAATTTAACTAGTTTGTATTGTATAACTGTTGAATTATGAATGATTGGTAAGAAAACAAACCTTGGTTTGCTTTAGCATTTCAGGTTGATTATTTTTAACTTTGCGTGGTGTCAGCAAATTGATCATTTTATCAGCCTGTCGTTCCAGTGATGCAAAAACTCGCTGACGGAGACGAGGTGTCTTAGATGATGATCGTGGAGAGTGTGCCGAACGTGGTACAGAATCTTGTATGGGAGTATTTGGAAAAGTTTCACTACGCTCCATCGATCGTGATCTGCAAATGATATTACTTAGCTAAACACATCAACAACTATAAAAGAAAACTAACTAAACCACAGGACAGTTAGCTTTGAAACTGATACGAACCTCATCTTCGCAGAAGATGTACAAGAAACAGGGACTCGCAACGGTGTTGCGTAAAGATTACTTCTTGGGCATTCATCGCAAATCTGTAAAGCCTATTGTTAACGACAATCAAGCACATATATTTTGCCTGATAATTTTATTATTCAGAGTTAAAGAACATTTCCAAACTGAAATTTGCTGGCTCAGATATCCGTTCTGAATGGTCAACATCGCAATTTTTTCAAGATTGTTGCGAATTAACATCACTGCCAGCTCATTCGAAACATCCTAGGACTTCGATCCTGTATTATTTCTAAATTCTAAGATGAAGGGCCAGAAAAAAAATAAAGAGCCGAAATTCTAAAATATATAGAAAAACATTACAAACACGAGGTAAGGTTCAACTTCACAACGAAGTAGAGCCTTCCAATCAGGATAGAACAGAAAAAGCAACATAAAAATTATCTCCTTTAGCTACATTAATCACTACTCTCCTTTTATCTTTTCATGTGAGAAACGTGTTTCGCACATGTTTTCATTCCTTTGTAAGAATCAGTAGTCACTACTGCTTTGAAAATAATTTCCTTGGAAAAAAAAGAGTAAGGAAAAAAAAATGAAATAATTTACTGCCTAATTTTAAAACAATCCCGAATTGTTCAAAAAGTCGAAATTCTATCAAGAAATAGTTTTCTCATATCACTTATAATGAAACTTAAATTAAATATTACCTTTATGAAACCATGCATTCTTAAGGAGGCTGGATTCCAATTTTCTTTGTCGTTTGCACGGTAGTAAAAACGGGAATCAAAAACAGTACCACACTAGAATATTTATGGATTTCGATCAATATACCTCAGTGTCTAACTCCAAAATTATTTTAGGATAAAATTAAGATTTTTTGTATTAAATAACTGCTTACTTGAGGCTTGGTTCGATGTCGTGCTGGCGTAGCATGAACTAATTCGGCAGTAGCAAAGTTGTTTTCCTGCCGAATGCCACAGG